AAAAAAAAAAAAACATCCAAGCATTATGTTTTCAAAATCAAACCAGTGTAAACTGGGCCAAGTACATAACTGGCCACGGCAAGAATATAAAAAAATGGCAAAAGCCTGATTGTTATGTCTGAGATCACGTCTATATTTAGACAAAAGACTGTTTGCTCGGAATAGTAAAAGGTGGAGCAATGCAATCTCAATGCATCTTTCAGAGGTTTGCACACACTGACACACTACAGAAATAACTGACTTAAAAACATTTTTTTTGTTGGTAAAAATACTAATGGTCTAAGACTTTTGCACAATACTGTATATATATATATATATATATATATATATACATACAGTACTGTGACCCTAGCAATAGCCAAAAATACACTGTATGGGTCAAAATTATTGATTTTTCTTTTATGCCAAAAATCATTAGGATATTAAGTAAAGATCATGTTCCATGAAGATAATTAGTAATTTTTCTAATGTAAATATATTAAAACTTAATTTTTGATTAGTAATATGCATTACTAAGAACTTCATTTGGACAACTTTAAAGGCGATTTTCTCAATATTTTGATTTTTTTGCAGCCTCAGATTCCAGATTTTCAAATAGTTGTATCTCCGCCAAATATTGTCCTATCCTAACAAACCATACATCAATTATTTATTCAGCTTTCAGATGATGTATAAATCTCAATTTCGAAAAAATTTACCCTTATGACTGGTTTTGTGGTCCAGGGTCACATTTATAAAAACTCATAAACCTGCAGTTGAGTACATAGTATATGCACTGTGTATTATGTCATTTAGGACACAACTCATATGTTTATGCTTCTTAATGAGTGTATACAGGACTCCAGAATGATTCATTTGAAATGATTCACAGTTCCTTCAGTCATTATATCACTCACTGTCATTCAGTCACTGCTCTGATATATTTGTGAATGTCTCAAGTCAGTAGTCAGTTATGCTGATAATTAGATGATATAGGTTTCAGTGAGTTAGATGAGTCAGTTACTGTGTTAGTGAGTCAGTGTGGTTGTTTGTCCAACAGTGTCTCTGCCAGTCCATGAGTCATATGGCCAGTAATTTCATGAATCATGTGCAGCAGCTCTGATAAACGCTGCCTTCATGCTATTAAGCTCCAAACCCAAACGCTGCAGGTGTGCATGTACAGCCCAAAGCCATGTGTCTCATTTCATCCAGGATGAAGTGTTTTGGGGAATCTTAATGTGTTAGTGACATTAAGGCAGGGTTTGACTCTAAGGTCAGTGTAAGAGAGATTCAGGCCAGTGTTGTGTTCGTGTTGTTAATTGTTGTGCAAGTGCAAGTTGCAGATGTGCAAGTGGGAAATCAACCAAGCAAGCACAAACAGACTCACAACCGAGTCCGCACAGGGACATATATCAGTAAGTGCACTGAACGTGTGAGTGTATTAAACTATAACACTCTCCTAGCAAGCCCTTGGCTGCCCTGGGTTTAAAACCATGAAAATTAAGCATTTGTGCCTTAGTGTTGGGCGATATGCTCCATAGTCATATCGTCCTATCGTCAGAATGTGAGATAGGGCTGGGCGATATGGCCAAAAAATCATATCTCTGTATTTTTTGGTTAAATTGTGACATATGATATATATCTCGGTATTTTCTACATTTTGCTATTTGGATGGGGGAAAAAATCTGTATTAATTTAAAAAAATGTTATTCTAAATCCTGCCCAATGTTGTACAATGAAACAATGATCATATTAAAAGCTATTAAAACAAATATAGTGAATGTAACCATATAGGCTATGCTATATAATAGCCAATATGCATTAAAAGGGTTAAAATCACATTACATTAACATTGCAACATTACAAAGAAATATAATATAATGCTTCTTACGAATATAATGCATCTTAAAGGGGTCATATGATGCGATTTCAAGTTTTCCTTTCTCTTTGGAGTGAGTTAAATTCACGAAACTAAAAAAAAAAATACAATACAATATAAAATAGAATACAATTACTTGTAGGTTTAAAATTCTACATATGGCACATTCATTGTCCAACAAGAAATATTTTAGCAAAATGTATATTTTACTCAAAATTATTGCGATCTTATTTCATCGCGCTCATTCTGTTTGGCGGCCGCACTCGTTCACTGAAGTCTAGTAGTTTAGCAGAGAATTGCATGCAGGAGGCTCATCCACTCCTGACAGGAAAATGGAAATATTTCCATGACTTTCCATGACTTTCTAACATTTACAGATGAGAATATACCTGTGAAATGTAAGTTATGCACTGAGGAAACCAGCACATCTCAAACGCATTAAACAGCATCTGTCAGCAGCCCGTAAGTTATATGTCAGAGCATCTGACGGGGCAAGCCGCTTTAATCTGTATGTGTTAACTATATCTTACGAGTTATTTTTAAAGCCCTTAATTAATATAAAGCATGTCTCATGTTTAGAACAATTTGTTTTATGCACTTTCCGCGCAGCAGCTCACTCCGTGTCCTCCGCTATTTATTCAGCCTCCGAGTATCAAACTATTTCTACATACCATATCGTTAGTGAAAAAATATATCAATATAACCCAGATCGATATACCCTCACCACATCGCCGATACACGATATTATTATGCTATTTATTTAATTATTCACTTTCTTAGTTTTATAACCGGAGAGCGAACCA